GGCCGCGCAGACCCGTCAGATTTTTAAGGAGGCCGCGGTGTTACTGACTTTGGGAATGGCTGCACTGATCTGTTGGTGGTAAATCAACAACTTTGTAAAGATCTCAGAGACGACTGGTTTTCTGACTGCCACCCCCAACCCAGAAATGGATTAAAGGGGAAGAAGATGGAAGATGGATGAATAACTAGTTCGATGGGTTGTGTTTGCGTAGTTAAAGCGTGTGTGATTTAAAAGCTATGCACCCAAACTTCAAAAGCAAAACAACACTTCTTCTTCTTTCTTTCTAGAAGCGAAAGTTGCACATTTTTGCAGAGACTGGGCTTCACACACTTAGAACCGCTGCTCAGTCACAAACACAAACAACAAGAACCCTTTTGTACAGAACGCTTCAGCACCACGGTCAGCGAGGGTCACGGCCATGGTCAGCGAGGGTCACAGCCACGGTCACGGCGACGGTCACAGCCGCGGTCAGCAACGGTCACGGCCGCAACATTCAGGAGTTTTTACTGATCTGAAGTTTGCAAACAAAGTCTCCCAAATATGAAGTTCACAGAAATAGAGCAGTGACTCATCTGCGCTGCTTGGGAACGTCTTGGCGCTTCAGAGTGAGCGGCCTGATTGATGTTTCCGTGGTATTTAACACTAGAACTCCCAGAGCAGTCATATTGACAGCTAAAATTTGTGGTCGTCATAACTTCGGGAATTTTATTTATCTACGTGAAGATCTTTTTATGGAATTTACTTTTTTTTTTTTTCATCTAAATAGTTCTACCTTTAACTTCCAGAGCAGTCATTTTGACTGCTCCATTCATTTGAATGTTCTTTTAAAATTCAACATTTATGGACATTGGTCTCTTATGGACCAATTACTGTATGTTTTTTATTGTTGTGTTCCTTGTGTTTGAAATGTTTGATCCTCAGATTTGTTGTTGGTGAATTCAATGGTTTTGTAAAGTCTTCCCAGATAAAAACTGTCGTCATTTTGGAGCGATACAAGAATACATTCAATTTCATTGAATTTAACTTCAATTTTGCCATTTCGGTTGCTTGGTAACCAACATTGCTGGTTCTGGTTCTGAGCGAAGTGTGTTTTTCCTCCGGAGCAGAGCAGGTGTCGGGGAAACAAAGTCACTTGTTTGGAGTTTCTGTTTCAGAATTGGATGTTAGTTTAATGGGAGCCGTCAAAATGACTGCTCTGTGAGTTCTATTAGTTCCATAATTCTGCCGCACACTTAACCAGGGAATTCAAAAGCATTTGCAAAAAAAACAAATACTGCTTATTGTGTTTTGCCGGTTTACGAGAAGTGTCTGGACTTTGGCAATCTCGTCGCTCATTGGCGTCGGCGAAGCAGCCCGCCGTTCTCATCTCACATGCCATCAATTAAAGACTTAATTTCAGCGACGCCCGACAATGACTGCGGCCTAATTCCTCCGTTGGAAATGTCATTATGGGCTGTTTGAACAGTGAATCACGGCGGCGAATAGGAGCCGCGACGCCGTTCTCCAAATGAGTTACTGCCGCGGTGTGTCGTAATGAACCAACCACTGACTCTGGATGGAAGCCATAAACCAGAGATGAACGCAGACGGATGGAGCCATCAGGCCTGTGTCTGCCTGACACACACACACACACAGACACACACACACACACTCGCACACACACACAGACACACTCACTCACACACAGACACACACGCACACACTCACTCACACACACACACACACACACACACACACGCGCACACACACACAGACACACACACACATGCACACACACACGCCTACACACACTCGCACACAGACACACACACACGCACACTCACTCACAGACACACGCACACACGCACTCTAGCGCACACACACACGCACACAAAGGGAGAGGTACAGAGAGGCACAATGGCTCGTTATGAAGATGTCTGGAGATGTGCTGTCGACACAGTTCCTGCTTTTGTTTTGTCGCTACAACAGTCTTTATATCAGGTGCGATACAGGTGTATGTCTTGTTTTACAGTTTTTTCCTGTTGCTTGAACACAGTTTGCAAAATTTCGCTCAAAGTCCCAAAACTCTACACACACGAGAACCAGACACACACTGGGACATAAACCAGACACATCTGTGTCAAAATGAAACTCCTCTATCAAAACTCAAACTCTGCTCTCAAAATTAAACAATCATTCGTCAAAATGAAACTCTGAGGACAAAATGACACACACTTGCATCACGTGAACACACTTTCAGATTGAAAGCAACACACTACAGTACTTTATATAAAACACTGCAGTCATTTTCACTGTTTTTATTCTGTTTATCAGTTAGTTTTCTGTGAAGCTCAATGGAACTGTTTTTGTTCTCTGTAACACTGAAAGGTTACACATAATATAAACCCAATACAGTACAGTACTACAGTATACTTTACAGTACAGTACTACAGTATACTTTACAGTACAGTACTACAGCATAAGTACAGTACTACAGTATACTTTACAGTACAGTACAATTGTGTCAATGCAGTAAAACAAAAAAACTCTAATGTAAAACTAAGCAGTTGTGCGTGTGTGGGTTATGGATCATGGTTCATGGTCTAACTATTTCCACGAAGGCAAGTTCATGTTGTTGGTGAACAGTTGCCGACCACCTCCGGATGTTCTTTTAGTCATTTTGTATAAATATGAAACCACAAATTGTTACTATAGGTTTAGTTTTTTTACAGTACAAATGTACACAGTACTGTTATATCTCAGTTTTATGTACTTTACCGTCTTGTATGTTTCACAAAACTACATTTCTTTCAAAAAGGAGCAATAGCCAACTTGCAAAACAGTACATGTGATACAGAACAGTACTGTAAATACTGTAGATACAGTCTGCAGTAGAGACTCACAGTACATGTGATACAGTACTGTAAATACTGTAGATACAGTCTGCAGTAGAGACTCACAGTACATGTGATACAGTACTGTAAATACTGTAGATACAGTCTGCAGTAGAGACTCACAGTACATGTGATACAGTACTGTAAATACTGTAGATACAGTCTGCAGTAGAGCGTTGGAAACATGTAGGTCCTGAAGGACCTTGTCTGGACTCTCTGCTTCCCTCAGTTTGAGGCGGTGGTTTATCACAAGATCCACAAAAGTTGCTCTAATGTCATAAAAATATTGGGTTGTTTTAATCCTCTTAAACTCCTTGTCTTCCTCTGTCTTGCTCTTCCTGCCTTCAAACTTGCAAAGTTCTGAAAATGGCTAAACTGAAGCCTGTTTGTGTCTGTCTGATGTGTGTTGCATTTTGTAATTCAGTGTTTTCTGGTGTGTGTCTCAGTGTTTTTAGTCACACAATGTGTTTGGTATTTTGAATAGATGTGTTTTCCCAACGATAACACAGGATTGCAAATATGCACAAAGTGTCTTATGTATGACACAGTGTGTAGTGAGCAGGAGAAAGTGTGTTGCAGAAAGAGAAAGTGTGTTGCAAAAGGAGAAAGTGTGTTGTAGAAATGAAAGAGCGCAAAGCAGTACTTTTGTTTAAGGAATGGTCAGTCTGTGTTTTAGGTTTAGAACAAAAGCTTCAAGTTCTGCAACTTTGGTCTAAGCGTATGTCTATAGTGTTCAAGCAACAGGAAAAAACTGTAAAGCTCGGGTATCGAACCTAACGGGGAAACCACAAAATAATGAAACGATGCGATTGAGTCCATTAGCTCTTTGCTCTTATAACAGTTTGCTTTTTCACATGGATATATTTTTGGCCTCTGTCTTTTAAATCAGTTTGTTTTGATAGAGAAAAGTTAAAAAAGGAGGACTTTCACTCAGCCAATCAGCTCGCAGCCCAAGAGTCAAATAGGGTCATTCTTACATGTATGGAAAATATATGGAAAAATGTTTTAATAATAATAATTATGAACGATAATAATAATAATAATATATCCGTTTTAAGCATTACTTTTTTGGAGTGGTGTGTCTGTGTGTGTGTGTGTGTGTGTGTGTGTGTGTGTGTGTGTGTGTGTGTGTGTGTGTGTGTGTGTTTGGTGGTCAAATCCATTCACCATTGTGTTAGGAACATGGATCTATAATAATAACTGGATAGAGTATTACTAGCTTATAGCTGTCCCACCCATGGCCACAGGGGGCGCTGTGGTACTGCAGACTAAATTCATGTGGGCTACCCAGAAAAAAGTCCCATAGAACTCAATGTAAACTAAACCAGCTTGACCTCAGCTGACAGAGAACTTGACAGAGAACCTACAGCTTTCATAAATGTCGTATTTTGTGGGGATGTTAGTGTCCCTTGTCGTCCTGAACTTTTTTTCTTCTTAAATCCTTCGGTTTTCTTTAAATCCACACTTTACTGCCACAAACTCTGCTCGTTTGGCTCCCGCTCTAACTCCCGCTCTGATGGCCAGCTCTGATTGGTCAGAGCGCGGCCGAGCCCCTCTGTGCACGTGCATGAGAGCCACACACGCATTTGGCGCAAAGCATCATGGGAGATAATCCACTGCGCTGAACCGGGAGGACCAGACGATGCCCAAATATCCGAGTTCTGCTAATCTCCCGGTCTTCGTGAAGTCCCATGATCTACTGAGCACAAGCCATTCATTTGAACAGGACGCCATCTTGGATCACCGGGGCTTGGTTCAGAGTGAATTAATATAAAGATGAACTACTTACTTATAATTCCACGTAAAACATCTTTGAAAGTACCCTATTCAAATATGATGCATTATTATCTAATCATTACTATTAATTTAACTTTTTCTTGAATCCTTTCTCTTGTCTTGCTTTGTGTTTTGCAAAAAGACAAAGTGGCCTTTTCTCTTCCAAAGTGTAACGATTTCACCGACAAACCGTAATTACACTCTAAAGCATTTACAATCCGGCGCTCATCGAACACGGCCCGGGCGCTTTTGCCTTTTGCTCACAGAGACTAATCTATTGATCGCAGGGTTGAATGTTGCAGCAGGAGGTGAAATGAGTTATTTTGGGCTGGCGGTGAGAAAGGGCCGGGATTAAGAAGGGTAGAGGAAACAATAGCTCAGAAACAGCGGGACATCCAGGTGTCCGCTGTCCAGAAAGCGGCGGTGGGCGATGGGAGGTGAGGGGGGGATGTGTGTGTGAGTATGCAAGCCCAGCCGGAGGTATCGAAGGCTGGGGAGGGAGGGTGACAAAGCAGGGGAGGAGAAGTGGTCGATGAAGCAGCCCGCTGAGATGTGGCTGTAATAGATTAAAGTAGTGTCCGGGGGCTCGTCCCACGGCTGACCCCAAACTATTAAGAGTGGCAGTTTCTCTCTCCACTTTGCAGCAGAAGCAGAGCTCACAGGAAAGTGCCGGAGAGACGTTTTACCCGGCACTTTGTCTCGTCTCCACATGCAGCCGACACTGTTTTGTGTTGGTTTGGTTTGTTTTCTCGGACAAGATTAAAGAATGGATGGAATGGTCAAGGTGAATGTTGTTACACCAGTGATTCTCCAGCGTTTGTGTCTCCGTTGTCTGTCAGTACCGCAGCACTACTGGTGGAACTTTCCCTTTAATACAAGATACAAGATACAAGAATTTATTTGCCTTTTGCAGTTAAACCACATTGGAAAAACTTTGCAAGGCTACCCAAGTGTGCGGCAGACACAGAAGACGGAACACACCAGAGCTCTTTAATGGTCACTGCTTGAAGAAATACATGTTTTTTTGTTTTTTGTATTTTCTACGATGTTTTTTTCTAATTTAATCCCTAGTGTTTGTTTTTTTAAATTATAGGCTTCTACAAAATGATTGAGATGCAATTTTGTAATAAATTAGCCAAAAACCAATGCCCCATTGAGGTAGATTTCAGTCCAAACTTAAAGTGGATATAGTGACTCAAAAAATGATTCAAAAAAGGGCTCAGAAAATTGAAGTTGTAAGTCAGACTCAGACCTCCTCACTCCCTCAGACCCACAGACTCAGACCTCCTCACTCCCTCAGACCCACAGACTCAGACCTCCTCACTCCCTCAGACCCACAGACTCAGACTTCCTCACTCCCTCAGACCCACAGACTCAGACCTCCTCACTCCCTCAGACCCACAGACTCAGACCTCCTCACTCCCTCAGACACACAGACTCAGACCTCCTCACTCCCTCAGACACACAGACTCAGACCTCCTCACTCCCTCAGACCCACAGACTCAGACCTCCTCACTCCCTCAGACCCACAGACTCAGACCTCCTCACTCCCTCAGACACACAGACTCAGACCTCCTCACTCCCTCAGACCCACAGACTCAGACCTCCTCACTCCCTCAGACCCACAGACTCAGACCTCCTCACTCCCTCAGACACACAGACTCAGACCTCCTCACTCCCTCAGACCCACGGACTCAGACCTCCTCACTCCCTCAGACCCACAGACTCAGACCTCTTCACTCCCTCAGACCCACAGACTCAGACCTCCTCACTCCCTCAGACACACAGACTCAGACCTCTTCACTCCCTCAGACCCACAGACTCAGACCTCCTCACTCCCTCAGACCCACAGACTCAGACTTCCTCACTCCCTCAGACCTCACTCCCTCAAACTCAGACCTCCTCACTCCCTCAGACCCACAGACTCAGACCTCCTCACTCCCTCAGACCCACAAACTCAGACCTCCTCACTCCCTCAGGACTAAACACTGAACCTTGGGGGACCGAGCCTGAGCCACAGCCGCCCCCACTCTCTGGAACTCTCTCCCACAACCATCAGAAACTCCCACTAACTATAGAAGTTAAATCCCTTCTCAAAACCCACCTCTCTCTGCCTGTGCTTGATTTCGTTCTTCAATGTTCATTTGTATGTGTTTTGTAAAACGACTTTGATTTTCCAATAAAGCGCGATGTAAGTTTGATGTATTCTTATAATAATTACCAATCTGAAATAGAAAACTATTTTAGCTGCAATACATTTGTTTTGAAGACACAAAAGACAGGACTGAGACTGGGACAGAAGCAGCTCATTTTAGAGTTGATGGATCTTAAAACAACTCCGGGTCGTTTGTTGATAGGGAACAATGTTGTAGCATGTTTAGAATCCCAAAAAAGTAGATTTAGCCTACTATGTCTAAAAATAGCAAAAAATAAGCATTGTTATGGTCATTAAATTGACTTTTGCAATATTATCGCTCTTAAAATACTATTTGTGTTTTCTGGTTTGACATATCCACAGATTTGAAGTCCCAATAATCGTACCGTGAGACTCAGCTGAAGGAGCAGTGAGTGTCCTTGTGTTGGGAGAGCGTGGTTTGAATAAAAATGCCTCTCTCTGTCTCTCTCTGTCTCTCTCTGTCTCTCTCTGTCTCTCTCTGTCTCTCTCTGTCTCTCTCTGTCTCTCTCTGTCTCTCTCTAGTCTCTCTCTGTCTCTCTCTGTCTCTCTCTGTCTCTCTCTGTCTCTCTCTGTCTCTCTCTGTCTCTCTCTGTCTCTCTCTGTCTCTCTCTGTCTCTCTCTGTCTCTCTCTGTCTCTCTCGGTCTCTCTCGGTCTCTCTCGGTGCTGGTGTAGATGGCGGTGCGTTCAGGGGACCCTCGTCAAAAGCCTCACTGCGGGTTTGTGTGTGTGTGTGTGTGCGTGTGTGTGTGTGTGTGCGTGTGTGTGTGTGCGTGTGTTTGTGTGTGTGTGTGTGTGTGGTCAGGGCTGTCAGCTCATAGCACCTCGCCACAATACTCGGCTGCAGAGGTCTGTAAGTGTCCTCTGCATGAAGGAGTGAGTGTTATCTGTCAGACTGCGCCGCACTGACCTTACGAAGGAGAAGCCCATTCAGCGCCGCGCCGCTCGCTCTCAAACCAACTTCTCCTCATTATTTAGCGGGAAATCTCTGAGGGCTTTTCTCTGAAGTGGGAGCGTATTTATGAAGCAGTATTCAAGCCGTTAACAGACTAGAAATGGTAGCTTTGCACATAAACAGAGCATGAGTAGGATTAGTGCAACTGCGAGGATGAGATTCTGTCAATGGGAGGCACTTGTCCTCTGGGGAGCACAGGGACTGGTCTCCTGTTGGGACTCTGAGGAGCACAGGGACTGGTCTCCTGTTGGGACTCTGAAGAGCACAGGGACTGGTCTCCTGCTGGGACTCTGAAGAGCACAGGGACTGGTCTCCTGCTGGGACTCTGGGGAGCACAGGGACTGGCCTCCTGCTGGGACTCTGAGGAGCACAGGGACTGGCCTCCTGCTGGGACTCTGAGGAGCACAGGGACTGGCCTCCTGCTGGGACTCTGAGGAGCACAGGGACTGGCCTCCTGCTGGGACTCTGAGGAGCACAGGGACTGGCCTCCTGCTGGTGACTCTGAGGAGCACAGGGACTGGCCTCCTGATGGGACTCTGAGGAGCACAGGGACTGGCCTCATGCTGGGACTCTGAGGAGCACAGGGACTGGACTCCTGCTGGGACTCTGAGGAGCACAGGGACTGGCCACCTGCTGGTGACTCTGAGGAGCACAGGGACTGGCCTCCTGATGGGACTCTGAGGAGCACAGGGACTGGCCTCATGCTGGGACTCTGAGGAGCACAGGGACTGGCCTCCTGCTGGGACTCTGAGGAGCACAGGGACTGGCCTCCTGCTGGGACTCTGAGGAGCACAGGGACTGGCCTCCTGCTGGTCCCAGAGTCAGGACTACACATGAGGAGGTAGCCTTCCAGATTCATGCTGCTAATATCTTGAGCAGTCTTCCTGAAAATGTTGTCTGTTTAGCTGTGCATACAAGTGAAGGACCATTTATGATCCTGATGCATTGTGGGATTGTATTGTTTCGTTATCTCAGACTGGTCATTATGGAATACTTCAGTCCTTGTTTGTCTTGGAATCCGTGTTTTATTCTCGTAAATGCATTTCCTTTTGTCATGAGAGGCAACAGTAGCTTCATGTCGTTGGAGAATTCACACAAAGAGTTGAAACTGCTGAAAACTAAAATGAGTTTGAGTTTTCGATAGATGGAAACTTGTTTGGTTTCCGGCGGATTCGTTTGATCCCACTCTGGTTGTTGTGCGGCACTGAGCACTTACAATTAAAAAACGACAAACAAACAAACACACATGGTACTATTCTGATTTTAATTATTTGAAGCTACACATGCATTATTCATTAGGAAAGCTGTCGTGTTTGTTTTTGTTTATTAGAATGAGACAGTGTGCATTCATGATTGTAGATTTTAGCCTTGTCTCTGTTGCAACACTAACACCTGTACACCAATAAAAACTTTATTGATCTCACAATGGAGAAAAGTACACGTCCCATTGGGTATAGATAGAATCCCTCAGGGTGTGCAAAAAGACAGGAAGTGTGCGAACCATAGACTTTAAATATTAACATGCGTATATCTCGCCTGTAAAAACTAATGTTGCACAACTTGTTCAAAATGGCCGCCGGTTAAGGACACGTGAAAAAGCGTTAGCCTGCACTAGCCCCATTCCTTTTTTTGAATGCTTTTAAAAGTCTACAGCGGGTAAACCAGACTGGTCCAAAAAAAATTCCCCTCAGCATTGACAGCACCTTGAGCCAAGAGCGACTTTTTGGACCATCCTGTAAAGAGGTTTTTGAGAGGAACAAAGGCAGCATACGAAAGCATTGGGTAATACTCTTTCCAGGTACACCCCCACCAACAAGGAGTAAGATTGCAGCATGTCATGGAACTTTTTGAGCCAGGACCCGAGCCAACTGGTGCAAATATGGTTACAAGGTTAAAATGTTGTCTCTGTATTGCCAGATATATAATGTACAATAAAAATAAAAATGGTGAGTTTAGCAGTGCGAGTGTTTCAGTCCTAGTACATACAAGTCATTAAAGTAACCCAGGAGTTCCCCTTCTGGGGACCCACATTCAAAACAGACCCACAGTCAAAAGGTGGTTTAGAAGTTTTAATAGAAAAAGTCAAATAAATCACAAAATGAAAATGCAAGAACACATCCAGGCAGGAAGGGGCAGGAAGTACCATTTTCAAATCCAATGTCTGCCTTTTCAAACAACTTATTTCCCCTCTTTTTATACATACGTATCCAAACATTGTCACATTTCACATTCTCAAACATGAAATATGAATTTAAAAAAAAAATGAAAAAATGTCTTGTTTAAATACAATCCACACACACGCACACACACACACACACGCACACACACACAGTCACACACACACACACGCACGCACGCACGCACACACGCACACACACACACACCAGCTCCCCTCCTGTCAGTCCCCTGGTCCAGCCCCCGGGTCCAGTCCTCTGGTCCAGCCTACATATCCAGCCCTGTTATGAGATTCTTCAAAGTGCAGCAGGCGGCCATAAGCCCACTGCTCTTTCTATTAGCAGCCTGGAGGTGAGCGCGTCAGAGTGACCCTGATTCAAAGCCGTGTCAGTGCGTGGCCTGGATTCTCTCCGGTCTGTGGGGACTATTGTATGTCCACACACTCTCCCCCACTTCCTCCCGCTGTTGTCTCCTATAGCTGTGGCGAGGAGAGAGAAGCGCTCTCTATAATGTCAAAGGTGCAGCATTTCTAAACAGTGGGAAGGATATTGACAGAGTGTTGTTGACTTGTTGCTGACCAAGTTTGTCAGGAGAGAAGTAAGAAGCCATACATGTGGGGTTATATTTTTACAGATAGTATACACAAATGTTTTCTGTAGCCTGTGGTAGTTCACACAAATGTAACTATGCAGTACAATCAATGGCCCTGTCTCTCAAAGAAAAACAAAACAACTATTCACATGCATGTATTTTTGCCCACTCTCAGGTCTTTAGGTCAGCTTTTCCCACAGATCAGCAATCCAATCTCAATCCAAAACCTGGTTATGGTGCAGTTTACTTGTCCCTGCAGAGAAATGTGTTTTTAGAGCTGGAGGGTTAGACCTATTATACATGTTTTTAGTGGTAGTGTAACCAGAGCAGATGGAGGGAACTTTAGCAGACACAGGGAGAACATGCAAACCCCACTCAGAAAGGACCTGTCTGGAGGTGGAATTAAACCCAGCCCCCTTTAGAAATCTTCAAGTAATGGTATGTTTTGAAAAGATGAAGACATTCACATTCAACATTTTACTTTTCTTTTACTTTGAAAATACGATTAGGTACAGGTATGCAGTTTTTGAAATCGGTTTTGTTCAACGACTGATGTAGCCACAGCTGCCCTGGGGCACACTGACAGAAGCGAGGCAACCAGTCTGTGCCATCGGCCCCTCCCACCACCACCAACCATTCACACACACACCAGACTCATTCTAATGTGGGGGAAGTGTCTTGCCAGAGGTGGAGTAGCTGCTTGGTTGGACCATTTCCTCTAAAATACTAAATGCTTTGTTAGCTTTTTTCAAAATGTTTGCATTCCTCCAGTGGATTTACACCTGATCTGCTTGTTACAGACCATGAATCCTCTCTGCTCTGGTCTGGACCAGTGTAAAACCATGAATCCTCTCTGCTCTGGTCTGGACTAGGGTTTAATCCCGGGATACGGGATTCCCGGGAAATCTGATGAAAACTATTTCCCGATTCCCGGGAAATGTTATGACGGGAAACGGGAAATGAAAGTAAAAAAAAAATACAGTGCGCTCCTATTATAAAGCACGTTTATTGTTGTTCAAAGTTCAAACATATTTCATTTACAATCAACATGTCTACAGCTGAGAGGATGGCTCCTAAATTGTGTTTTTGA